CTTGGTGGCTTACCATTAGCATTAGAACAAGCTTGTGCATACATCAAGTATCTGGGATGCTCACTATCTGAGTACTTAGGGTCGTACGAAGAACAGTCCCTCCAACTTCTAAACAAGAAGAAAGCTACCTCTTTTTATGGAACTTCCCCAGAACGATTGGCCGTTCGTACCACGTGGCATCTCAACTTTGAACATATCAAAAAAGATGAAAACGGGATCGTCGCCACTCGTTTTTTGAATGCTTCGGCGTTTTTGGATCGCAATGAAATTCAAAAAGACCTCATTAACGTTGGCGATCCACTTGTTGACGACAAAATGTATTGTGATTACGTGAGCTCTTCTTTGGGTTCTCTTGAAGTCCTGAAACTCTTGACTGACTTTTCTCTTTTTAAGGAAACTCACGATTCTTCCCTCACTGTTCATCGTTTAGTCCAAGAGGTCATTCGAGAAAGTCTGACCTCGGAGGAGAAAGTTGAAAGCATTGTTGACGCAGCCCGGTTGTTACGTTTTGCCTTCTCGAAATGTCCCTCCTGATCTTATTTCAGTAACTGAATATAGTGATCGATCTTCTCTTTATGCAAATAATTCTTCGAGTTTTCATAAGTGGCATAAGTTGTGTTTACATGCACATGAAATTAGAAGGAATCTAGAACGTCTTTTGGAAGTCGTCCATGATGTTATCGGGAAAACTGTCTTTCTACCAGAATAGCAAGGGCGGTTTACGAATGTGCTTTGCATTTGAATGTCAATAATTTGAGTAGTCAGGCAAAAATTGTTGGAGACTTGCCAATCGGATTCTTGACTGTAGTCGCCAAGAGATTTCGGAGAATGGTTTGAGGGTTCTCTTTCCACATACGTTTCCTCTGTCAGAGTCTGTACGTAGGTTAATCAAATACTCCTGTGAGGCTCCCCCTGAGATAGAAAATATCAATACTATTATTAAGACCTCTGCTTATGATCCCATGAAAGCAGAAATCGATAATTTGCGATCTGAGGTAATGACCTATTCATGAAAAGCAATTTCGAACAGGCTGTAACAGTATACTCTTCATGTATTGATAGAAGTATAGGGAAGAATTTTTTTGACCCTAGGTTATTTAGTAATCGTGCTTCTGCTTATCTCAGGTTAGAGCAGTTCAAAATGCTCTGAGCGATGCTGAGGAATACATTAAGTATTCTCCTGATTGTTGGAGAGGCTACGCTAGGAAAGCCTTGGCTCTTCACGGCTAAATGAACAAGATCTGTATGTGCTGCAGCTTTGGCCTTTTATTATCACCCCAGTATCTTCGAGAAATACGAACCGTTCAAAACTTCATTTCCCAATATGAAAGAACGTATTCATATTTGTGATGACGTTCTTCACTGGTTTCTTTGCTTTCTCCTCCGCTAATGATGAGATGTTTGCTTATCGCCCGTGCAAAATCATTCTCCTCAAACCAGGCAAATATTGTCTCCATGCCAAGGATTTCGAAAGTTTTCGAATTCAAGATGAAGATATTTTCAATGTCAATATAAAGCGGTTGATAACACTTGATTTTTGCATTGTTGGTTTGGGTGATAGCTCGCCTTCACTCTCCTTCGATCGTAATTTAGGTCTGCTTTCCCGCAACGTTGTGGCTTATAACATCTCTTTTATATTCGATGTTGCAAACTGGGGTACCCTGCAGGGCTCTACAGTCAAGCTGTTGAACTGTTCGTTCACGTGCAATCTAGATTGGCGTGCTTTTCTGTCAAAAGGAAATCTCAGTGTGAAAAATTGTGTGTTTAACAATTGCAAAAATACTGCCCTGTTCACTGAAGGAGAAGCTGTTGTTGAAGACTCCGTCTTTTCTGGTAACAAGTCTGCTGGAATAGAAATCTTCGGTGGAAGTCTTTGCCTCAAAAACAGCAAACTTCACGGTAACCGATGGGGTTTACTTCTAATGCATGGCAAATGTCGTGTGGCTTGTTGTCAAGTTTATGATAACCAGGAAATGGGTATAGGAGTCCAGGAAGGAAATGCAACATTTACACGAAATGAAATATTTCACAATGACCGTGATGGTGTATTTGTTCGTGAAAAAGGTTCCGCTGTCATAGAGGAAAATGAAATATTTGAGAACAATTGGCTGGGTATTCGAGCGTTCGATGCTTGGTGCCATATTTCTCGGAACAGAATTTACCAAAACAAATGTGGCGGCATTCATGTGGTGCCAGTAACAAAAGCATCAGGTCTGCGGCAATCAATTATTGAGTCCAATCGTATTTTTGGGAACGAGGGGCCTGGTATTGACCAAGCCATAGGTTGGGATGATGAACTCGATAGTGCGATGCCGAATCTTTTTGAAGTCTTTTCCGCAAGAGGTGTGAATTCTTGCTAGCGAAATGCACTGACAATGAGGTGAAAAATAACATGGAGAGAGGCAGCCATCCACAACTGAAGGAGTTCACTGACATTTGTTTTCGTTGTTACAAGAAAGGCCATTGGAAGAAATGTGACAACTGTTTTATCGCAGGATACTGCAGCCCAGGATGCGAAAAAGATGACTTTGAAATCCACAAAAATTGTTGCGTTCGACTATTGGAGAGATATAGCGTTTTGGTAAAAGTTCTTCCATTGTCATCCGGTCTCATTGGCGACAAGATGGTTTTAGACGAGGGTAATGAAAGGGGGATGCCATGGTCGGTCCTTGAGCCTTGTGGACGTGCACACGCGCGGCCGCCCAACAACGGTGAACGTTTCGTTGTTAAGATACAAGCCTGTGATGGTCCAAGAAAATCTAATCGCGGACGTACCCTTCTTTCTATAAGAGATCGTAGCCTGTCTGTTAACGGAAGTTTGGCTATGGGTGACCATTGCGACGGCATTTATCGCATTGTAAGAGAGTGTGGCTTCAACTGTGAATGTTTAGGATGGAAAAAGAAGTTCTTTTGGGCTGTCCTTGCAGGAGATTACCGTACAGTGCGCGTATTTCTCACTGATTTACCAAGCTATCAACTTTGGTAACGACAAATGTTATCTATCACTCAGTTAAAAAGAGAATCAAACAAGTCCATGAAATAACGGTTCAAAATTGCGCACTAGGCATTTAATATATGTATAGTTGATTTAATTGCTTTTAGCATGGTAGACTATATTTTTAAAATATAATATATGCGATAAAACTGGGTGTTTTACACGTTGTGTCGAAAAAGCGAAACACCTAAAAATCCGCTATTATTCTGATTTTTAATGTTATGTTAAATTTGAACTCGCTACTAATTACACACAATGTCCACTATAGGACAATCTTCGGGTTCTCCTATGGAAAATGTTTCGCATGACAAGCAATTTTGGCCTAATTCAACAGATACTTAATACATTGCATCCCTTAATTTACTTTTACCTAGCTTCAACATGGCATTGTTAGGACGATGAATGATATTTGTGGTTCGCCTTTTTCGAGACACACTATCCACGCGGGTTTATCCAAATAAAATAGAAATTACCCTTGAGCCTGGTATTCATTTAGTCGTCACTGTCGTGATTCTCACGAATGTGAAATAGTCATGCGTAAATTTGTCTTTACTTCTTAATGCAATTCGGGCATTGTTTGACTACACACCCATACACACCCATTGTTTGACTACACACCCAGAAATGTTATATCACATGGCCAACGTGACATGTCACGGCAATGAAGTCTAAATGGAAACCAGGCATCATCGTGCCCAAGCACAACGGGAGTTCCTAAGGTCTTTACATCCTGTATAATTTAGATATAACATAATATATATTTTTAAAACGTGAGGCAAAAAAACAATTTCTGAATAAACAAGATATCTTAAAAAACATATAAATGATTTATACTCACGACACGAAAGACACAAAATTGAAACTTAAAATGAATTTCAATTGTATTATGTATTCTATAAAGAAAGTGTTGATTTACCGTTCCAGGTCTATATTTATTTTATATGCCCCTATATATAAAGTATAGCAACTGAGATATAATGATACTGAGGTTATGTCTTTTATCTTTCTGAATATATATTTTATTTTGAGCCCTTGCACATGCATGATCACTTATATAATGTAGCTGTGTTAAATATGTTTGTATTTTTAGCTAATAGCTTTAACTATATAACATGTGCAGGATGACTTCGAATGTCTCAGAACGCTTTATAATACCTACACACCTGCTGTGTACATAAAGCATTGTCACATTGCATGCGGAAAAAATATTACTAAACTGTAGCCAAATGTGAAGTTGCTATCTTTGCGCTAAATGTGGGCTAGATGCATGCTCGCATCTCATCAATCAAAGAACCAATATCTACGCGCTTCCCTTATCACACGACGAAATGATAAACAAAGACAAAGTTATGAACGAGTACTGTTTAGAAGACTAACTGGCAAATTTAGAAAGAGGCTAAAGTAAGTCCAATATAAGTGTACATCTTAGAAGTCATTATTTCGAAAATTTGTCAACTAGCTGCATCTTTATTCACAATGTTTTTTGCAACGTACTGTATCCTATATACATTATTGGGGGGGGCTCAGGCCGAGGATGGAAAGTCTCACGTTGGCGATAGAAATAGAAGCAATCACGCCACTCGTCAACCCCAACTAGCTATGTTAGTGAACTATCGCTAATCAAATGTTAAAAGGTTTCTAACATTTAAAAAAACCGAACACTCGCTTTCGATTCTCGCTCGCCGCAATAAACTCGTTTGCGACTGTTTTTAAATTTAATTCGTCTGTTTTATCTTGATGCACGTGAATCAACATTAAGTTGTTGAGTCGACTATCTCCTGTAGTAGATCTGAGGTACGTTTTTAGCCTTTTTAAAGCTGAAAAGCTTCTTTCACTAACTGCATTCGTGGCCGGAGTGACAAGAGAAGTTGGGCCAGTGTAACCACTTCATATAACAAACGTTTTTCAGCGTTTTTCTTCTTGAAGCGGAACAAAATTGACTTTTGGTTTCCAGACGACATCACAAATCACTGACTTGCTGGTTTAATTATATAGTCACCAGCAATCAAACATATTTTAAACTTGTTTGGGAATCAACAAGTTGAACCTCCCGGCCAGTATTAGCAATATGTTCTGAAATCTTCACCTCCAAGCGAAGCTGGATGTTAATATACACTGGCGGTCAAAAAGAACTGCTCAAAACAAGTTAAAATGGTGACAAATGAACGTAACTGTCCCTCTAACAATACATACGAGCAAATATAGACTAGATTACATGCTAAGCTATATGAAATATTAATATTTTGTTGACCCTCCTTTGGCCTTATAATTGATGGCGGCTTTACACCGGCGTGTCATACTTCCTGTTAAGGTGGTAATCTTCACGGTCAAAAGAAATTCATCCTATGGACAGTCTTTACAGCAACGCATGCTTTATGAATGAATTCCTTTCTTGCACTATCCCCTTGACATTGTCCCACAGATTTTCAATAGGGTCTTAGTCTTTTGACTGTGCAGGCCAATCCATTTCTGTCACTCCCTCTTCCTGAAACCATTGTTTGACTATATCTTGGAAGCGTGGCAGCTTGCATTACATTATTGAAATATTGTTTGGAATAAGAGAATAATTATTATACAAAATGCCTATGAAGCTCTCTCCTATATTCGCTTCTTTTTTATCATTTTGTATCTAAACAGTTCCTTTTGACCGCTACTGTACAATAAAAAATAGATTGTCACGATTCCTGTTACATACGATAATAGCAACATTTGAGCAGTTTTTTTTGACCGCCAGACTAACTCGTGAGTTGTGAGTGTGACAGACGTATTGAAATTTACGTACTGTGCGCCGAGCTATATATTATTAATATATTCTTTCAAAATGCCGAGTGTGCATGTCTGTCAACAAGTTCAGCGGAATTTAATTTAATTGATATATAATTAATAATTAATACAAGCAAATTATTGGGGGGGCTGAAGCACCACCAAGCCCCCCCCTGGTAACCACGGGCCTGTATATATATTCCTATTGGCCAGTAGAATTCATAATTTATGAGATTCGTATTCATGCACGTGGAATGGAAAGAGACAAACTGTTTCACAATAATTGATGATATTCGCCGTCGCCTTCGTTTATATATTAGGGAGGTTAAGATCGACTTCTGCTACGTGTACCGATACCAATAATCAGTCACGCGCATGCGCAGACGTAACAATCGTCCTAATAATGTTTCTGCTTTGTTTGGTGAGACGTAATAAGGATTGTGATTAGAGTTTTTGATGTGAATACAGCCGCTATACTCCGCCATGTTTATTTACTTCTTACGGAAGTCACAATCTTAACGCTTTAAAATTTCCGCGCTGACAAACTGTAATACGTCATGTATTTTCGCATCGGTACTGGTAGTGGAAGTAGATCTTAACCTCCCTAATATCACGCATGTGACGAATCTCGCAACGGTAGCGGGAGCCGTAGTCAAATCTAAAGCTCTCTAATAAAAAATGGGTTGCAGCTATACGCAATGTATTTACATAATGTTGTTACAGTTTTGGCTTCACGTTACCAACGCCGTTTCTCCGTTTGCAACATCATTGCAATTTCATTTGTAATTCATTGTTTTCCATTTAAGAGGGGAGGTCAGTATAAAAGAGAAACGGTTTGTATGGTATAAGGAAAGGTATCTGGCTAATCACTTAAACGTTTTGAGAAGATTGAGATCTCCAACTCAACTAACGAGTTTGAGTGCATGTGAGTGAGCTTTTAGAATACAGGCGTTGTAGTTGGATGTGTTTAGTTTACTTCAATCTATGAAATATCAAAGCATGTAGCTCCCTTTTTATGTATAGAATTATTTATAAATATGGAAAGCAAAACTACAGAGCCATAACTACAGTAATATAACTACAGAGCCATATCTGTTCTATCATTAGTCGCTAAAATAAAATTTTTGAAAAAATAATGTCTAATAAACTCTCAGCCAGTGAACTCTATATATATGGCTCGCTCCAGTTCAAAGTGTGAAGCCAAACATGGCGGATCATGAAGGCTGCTTGGGTACCGAACCAGTCCTCCACGAAGCGTAAAATGCGCGAACCGTGCGTGGAAATTAAAAACACGAATTATAAAACTATGACGAAAAATAAAAAAGCAAACATTTAGGACGTTACAAAGTTTTAAAATTACGAACTAGTTTTTAAAAATGAATACATACAATTTGTTAATTACAACCTTACATGGCAATGTTATTTTTTCTAGAGAGGTAACTTATGCCGTATATTTGTGTTGTGTTTACAAAACTGAACGAGTTCAACTCCTACACGTTGCCGCCATTTTGAATTTTAACAGCTCGTGCGTGGAGGTCTGGTTCGATACCCAAGGAGCCTTCATGATCCGCCATGTTTGGCTTCACTTTTAGATTACGCAATGTACTAGAGAGAGCTTTCCATATATATAGAGTTCACTGCTCTCAGCCGTCAGCCGAGCATTTGGAAAATAACGGAATCATTGCTTCTCAACAGAATTTGGTGCCTTGCTTTATGTACGTTTGTTTAGTAAATTATCGAATTTGGGAGGAAAAACAGTAGAGTATTTAAAACAATATTTCTAATTCGAACGAAGTGTTAACTAACGAAGCGTTAACAAAATGAAAAGTTTTATTTCTCTAATTTGAATAACGAATTCGAACATATATTGACCGTGACTATATACAGTGTTTACACATTTTGATAAATATGAATAGCTAGATAAGTATCCCTCGGCGGATTTAGGATTGATCAAAATAAATGATAAAAGCACATATTTTGATATGTATTTTAGCATTTTAAAAACCTTTCAAATAAATTCAAATAATGAGGAGTTCTGAAATTTGAGTTCTGAAAGATGTTCTTTAGAAATTTAGAACTATTGGCATCTTTTTCTGGTACTTTTAAAATTGTGCTGCTATCAGTTGTTTTGATTTACCCTAGAACGCCACTGCGATTTACTAAAAGCAGCCTGAAATTGTTACTGAGTTAATCAATGCAAAGTGTTCTTCCATCAGCAGAGGTGATAGTCATGAAAGACGTACTTACTTCTCTCATTACTATTTAGGACCAAAAGTAAATGCAATAAATGGGAGAGGGGATGTCCGACAGATCTCCGGCTTTTATACGAATATTGTTTTGAAAAACTTTCTGGGGACGGTTGTATAAAACTCTTTAACTAAATTTTGCATAGTTAAATCCTGGTTAACTCAGAAATACACAACTCTGATTAGCCAATTCTGTCCTTAACTACAGTTAAAAATTAACTAGCTTTTTATACAACTGGCCCCTGTCGACCCCCCCCCCCCTCTAATTCTCGCGCTATTTTTTAGCCCTGTTGCTATTGTCAAAATTCGACAGCAGTATACAGTGTTAATGAAGATTATTATGAAAATATGGATACATGATAACATGGGTATATAAAAACGTGTATAGGTAAAAAGTATAACATTGTCAACTGATAGTTCTCACTGGCCTACCAACGTCGATAAGGTGGAAAATCACTTGTAAATACTCGAACTTTGTTTCCCTTTGCAAGTAAAGCCCAAAGAAACTTTTTTTTCCATCCATAACTGTTACAGTTTGAACCGCATTCTCTTACAAGATTATAAATTCCAAGGCATTGTTCGTCGTTCATATCAAGATCACCGTTAATGGTTTGGCTACGATCTTCTATAGCGAGCATAGCACCTCCGTAATTCGATTTTCTCCAAACATCGCAGGCTTGCACCTTAACGATAAAACGTTTACCAAACGTTGGTGCTTTTTCGTATTCCGGGCCACTTTGTTCCAACCACGCGAAAGGTGCCTTGTATTCATATTCCGGGGTGACAACGCTTTTATCGCCTTTTAATCCCAGTGACAATGGTAGAATTTTCACTAAAACGCTGTATTTCTCTAAAATTCGAGCACATTCTTTCTTATGATGTCCCCAGTCGGCTTTTTGGCATTCTTTATTGCAGTATCCTGATACGAAACATTTCATACACTTTTTTAAATCCACATTTTTTCGACAGAACCAACAGACGTCGTGTAAATTTTGTGAGGGTGGTGGCATGCCGTCACTTATGTTTTCTTCAAGTATGTTTCCCGTACATTTTGCTGTCAAAACTTCGTCATTTGAGAACGTGGGAAACGGACTATTCACAGAATCGGAGAATGCCTTCATTTGGTCAATACCTGGGCCTTCGTTGCCAGATATCCTGTTAAATTTAATAACTGACTGCGGTTGTTGGCGTGATACAGGTACTGCATGAATGCCACCACATTTATTTTGGTAGATATTATTATTCGAAACAAAACAAGACGCGTCACTCATCGTTGCAATTCCATAAAAACCGTTCTGAAATATTTCATTTTTTTCGATGTCTGCCCTTGATCTTCCAATGAGACAAACTCCATGTCGATCATTGTGGAATATTTCATTCTGTGTTAGCTTTACTTTCCCGCCATTTCCGACACCCACGCCTATTTTCATGTTGTCATATATTTGACATCCGGTAACATCACACGTACCAAACTTAACATCCAAACCCCACTGGTTTCCGTAAAGTTTGCTGTTCTTAAGCTGAAGATTTGCAAAACCAACAACTTGTAATCCAACAGATTTGCTTGCTGAAAATTCAGAATCCTCGACCCAAGCGTTCCCTTGAACGACCAAAGCGTTACCTTCACAACTTCGGAAAATAGAATTCTTGACCATAAGATTTCCTGAGGACAACAGAGCACAAGGAATGCTTTTACTAGTAACAGAACATTTAAAAACCTTAACTTCAGATTTGGGTTTCGTCGACCAGTTTCCGACGTTAAATACAAACGAAAGGTTGACTGCCATAAAGTTTCCAGAAAGCAAACCGAAATCATCCGTAAATGATAATGTAACATGATCTCCGACACCAACAAGAATAACATTCTCTAAATCTAATCGCGTAGAGAGAGTATACTCTCCTGGCTCGAGAACAATGATTTTAATAGGCATGCCTAAAACATCCCCAGACTGCCACTGAGAAAGCAGGAAAAGAAGTGCACAGGTTTCATGACAAATATGAATACATTCTTTCAACTTAGGAAATGTGGTTTTGAATGGATCATATTTTTCAAAGATTTTGCGATCATGATAAAATGCTAAAGCGGCTGCACTCATTGCATCCCACTTTTCATTCAGGCCTTGAAGAGCCAAGGCTTTCCTAGCGTGACCTTTCGAACACTCAGGTGAATCCTTAATGTATTCCTCGGCATCATCTAAGGCATTTTCATACTGCATTAACCTAAGATAGGCCGAAGCACGATTACTGAGTAACCTAGGGTCGAAGAATTGCTTTCCTTTACTTTTATCAATACCTAAAGAGTACCTTTCGATAGCCTCTTGGAAATTGCCTTTCCTGAATTGTGTATTACCTTCCAAACGCATGTTTTCAATTTCTGTTTTCAAGGATTCATTAACAGAGGTGTTAGAAGTATTAGTACTATTAAGACTGTTGTCTCCCTCAGTAGGTGCCTTACAAGAATATTGAATAAGCCTACGAAGGCGCTCTGACAGTGGAAATATATGCGGAAATAGAGCCTTCAAATCTTGCCCTAAAATCTCTCCGCGACCCCAGTCAAGAATACGATGAGCAAAATCTCCGACAATTTTTGCCTGACTGCTCAAATTATTGACATTCAAGTGCAAAGCACATTCGTAAACAATCCTCGCTATCTCTGGTAGAAAGACAGTTTTTCCGGTAACATCGCTGACGACTTCCAAAAGACGTTCAAGATTCCTTCTAATTTCATGGGCATGTAAACACAACTTATGCCACTTATAAAAATTAGAAGATTCATTTTGATAGAGGGATGGTCGATCACCATATTCAGTTGCAACACTTTCTGAAATTATATCAGGAGACGGGCATTGTGAGAAGGCAAAACGTAATAGACGGGCTGCGTCAACAATGCTTTCAACTTTCCTCTCCGACGTCAGACTTTCTCGAATGACCTCTTGGACTAAACGATGAACAGTGAGGGAAGAGTCGCGAGTTTTCTTAAAAAAGGAAAAGTCAGTCAAGAGTTTCAGGACTTCGAGAGGACCTAAAGCAGAGCTCACGTGATCACAATATGCTTTGTCGTCAACACGGGGTTTGCCAACGTTAATGAGGTCTTTTTGAATTTCATTGCGATCCAAAAACGCCGAAGCATTCAAAAAACGAGTGGCGACGATCCCGTTTGCATCTTTTTTGATATGTTCAAAGTTGAGATGCCACGTGGTACGAACTGCCAATCGTTCTGGGGAAGTTCCGTGTGGAGAGCTTGCTTTCTCCTTGTCGAGAAGTCTTAGGGACTGTTTTTTGTAGGCTTCCAAATATTCAGATAAGGTGCAACCAAGGGAAACGATATAGGCACACGCTTGTTCTAAAGCCAACGGTAGCCCACCGAGGTTTTTATATAGAATGTCGGCGTTCTCGTCTAGGAAAATATTTATAAATCAAAAACATGTGTTGCCAGACTGAATAAATTTGCCAAACGCTGTATTTATTGAGCGGATATTTGAGAAGATATATAACAGATGTAACCAGGGCCGTGCCTCCTGATCGGTGTGGGGTGTATTCCCGGACTTTAGGTATCTAAGTTTCAGTGATAAGACTATGAATAACTTTTCTCCAAAAAAGAACAATAACTAAGCCTCTCATTACAAAATTGACTTGACGTTATGATTTTTGTAGTAAATTCACAGTATTTGAACAAGAAAAAGATTCTAAATTTCGAAATTTCAAGTCATTGAGGTTTGAGATTTTCAGAACACTACCAACTTGGATGGGATGCTTGTATATAGAATTTGCGTTATGTTAAATCCCAGGAAGGCAATAAACTGTAATAACGTCGAATATTGAAGAAGAAGGGAGTGCCAAAAACCAGAATAACATCAACGTCTACAACCTCTCCCGCGTTATTATTACAATAGTATATTTTAATTTAGTCAACTGCACTAACCTGCCATCTCATCGCGACTAATCCCAGTTCTTTTGAACACGAAATTCTTCGCATCCTCGCACCCAAAACTATCAAGTTTGAGACAACTCGATTCTCTGAATCCAGATATATCTTGATTTAATTCTCGCGGCGTTCTCCGTGTTGTTATGATGATACGGCCGAGCCCTTTGGTGTTTGATTGCCACGATCCTGATATCAACTTGCGTAAATTTTGCGAAAGACTAGGCCCATCCATATCATCAATGACCATCAGCCATGGTCGTGAAATGCGCGAAAATACCGCCAAGGTTTTGGACAGTGTAGCATCGAGGGAGTCGTTATCTAGGGTGTTGAACTGCGCTGCTATGTCATCAAAAGATGCTTTTAACTTGACATCATCTTCTCCGGAAATCCAAAACATCCCTCCTTTGTAATAATCCCTCCATTTATATATATATTCTCCTGCAAGGCTTGTTTTCCCGCTACCTCCCAGGCCAGATATGGCTACCACGGTTACTTTTTCGTCAATACTTTCGCTTTCGTTGTCTAATATATCTCGAAGAGAAGTCAGTTCAGATTCTCGACCACTAAACCACACACTTTGTTTGGGTGCCATGAAAAGACATGGCGGCTCTTCGTGTTTTCGTGAGAAACTGTCGTACAATACGAGCTGTCCTACTTTCAATTGCTCAACATCTTTTTTCAACTTGTGGATTTCCTGCGTGAAAGATTTCTCGATATCCTCCAGCGCATTTAAAAGTTTACTCTGTATAATTTAGGAGGGAAAGGAAAAAATTGTTAAAATGATCTCTTTTTCGCATTAAAAAAATTTCGCTTTCGAATTAAGTCATGCAACAGTTTGGTGTGGGAATAAATGGCCGATCGAAAGCCGGGGCGAGTTGTTCTTATTTTATCTTTTCGATTATATTCTATACAGTACCAACCGTCAGTATAAAAAATGGGCACTACTTTGGTTGGGTAGTGTCGCAGCTCCTCGCAAGAATGATTTTCATTGGCTGAACTTTACCATACATTTCTGTTTCAACCAATGGCATAGCCTCGTTCTTATAGGAAAGCATTATCCAATTGGACGAAAGCTTCCGAGAGCTGCGGCATATCACCTTTACTTTAATAGTTAACTACATACAAACTCCAAGATATTTGAAGACCTTTTATAGCAAAAGCTGGCTTTGGCTGATACTTGTATGCCAAAATGAAATAAACGTTTAATATTTCCTGCAAATGTATGGGTGCATGTAATTAATTTTTTTTGCACCTAATAGATATTTCTAAACCCTATCGTTTTGTTGAAATATTTTACTTTTTTACAACAATTAAATTATTTATCTCCAATTTTACATGCATACATGCATGTATGTACCTGCTCAAACTCTGCATCCTTTCTCCAATCTTTCGAAGAGTCTCGTAGTTCAGCAACTTCTGCTTTCACAAGTTTTAGGAGTTCAGAATCAACAGGCTGACCAAAACACAGCTCCAAACCTTTGTACAATAAACATTTAGTAAGAAATATATATGTGTGCCGAATTCCTCCTCAGTCTTAGCACGGAATATTAGCACGGAATATTAGCACTTAGTAAAGTGCTTTATAAATGTTGATTATCAGTATTAGATTATAAATTATATAAAGTTGGAAATGATTCTGCACCAACACCTTATAAATACATCAACAGCTCATGCATGTAAAATCGATAAAAAGCATGAAATATATTTATTTGTAAATGTAAAGTCTGTTTTGGGAAATAGACCATTTCAGCTTACATGCAAATTCACCCATTTCAGATGTTGTAACCATGCATGGAATAAAAATTAAAGTGGTCCACTACAGAAATTTTTTTCTTAAATTTTGAAAATTATAAAAATCTGTCCCTGCCATATTGCAAGCCAAACCAAGTTGCTCTGAGTGAAAAAAGGAATCTTCAATCATTACAGTTATCCAGACCAGAGTAACCAGAGACCCAATGGTGGAAAATATAGACGATTTTTGTACCAGTAAAACGATAACAAACTAGATTTTAACTATAGAACGACGGAATTAGTGGCTTTATTTAGTTCTATTTGGTTTTATGTAGTACGTTTGCTTCGGAGCTGAACTAAAAATATAAAACTTGTCCAGTATTAAACGTTTTTGCAGGCTGTAAATATAAACTTCTACGATCTATCTGATTCAAACATCAAGAAACTACAATTAGTCCAAAACTTTGCAGTAAGAATAATAACCGGTGCATATAGAAGTATGAACATATATCACTCCTCACCAGCAAGTCCTAGGATGGCTCCCAGTCAAAGAACACTTTTAAGTGTAAATTAAAATTTACAGAGACTTGTTTATAATGTTTAAATACCGTAATGGTATGGCACCAAGATACCTTAGTGATCATTTTTTTATCCGTTCCAGTGTCCACGACCGCGAAACACGGCATATGAACGAGTTAGACATATCTTTTTTTAAAACGAAATCTGGGCGAAGGACCAATTTCGAGCAACTAAGAACGACTTAGATGATGAGCTTAAAGTCTAATAAAGACATTGGCAATTTTATAACTTTTAAAAAGGAGTTGAAGCGGACCATGCATGCTTTCAAAACATTTTTCTAAGGATTAATATTTCATTTTAACTTATGTAAATATTATATATAGAGTATATTTTAACCCGTTTTATATATTTTTGTAAATTGAACTGAAAATCCCGTTTGGGAGATCTATTAAATTGATAGTAATAATAATAATCTGAAATAACCAGTCGCCACTTTACTTAGACTGCATGAACGGATACAAAACTTTTATTTCACCCGCAAGCCAATTGTCTTTAAAGTCAACCATGAAAATTTTATCAAGTTCGCTTTATTACTTTTTGAGTTATCGTGTACGAAAGTATAAGGGAATCAGAATTTTAGTTTGCTAAGAAAAGCGACGAAAAAAGTTGCATACCTTCATAAATTATAGAGAACAATGCAATAGAACAATAAAATAATAGAATAAGCGCCCCAATCGACCCCTTTTGTTTGCTCGGGGTAAAACCCCAATTAATAAACTTCGTTTAATTCTCGCGTTCTTTGTATATTTTTTAGAAAAAATATTCAAGATGATTTGAAATTGGTTAATTTGCATTCAGGCTCAAAAGGCCTACTAATTCCGTCCTAACACAAAAGTTTGGATTTTAAAATATAAAAATAAAATTGAGCATGGAAATACTAGATACTAAAAAGCTGTCGTATTATATCCAGATTTTTACCACGGGGCCAATTAGTGTACACTTCAAAGTTCTGCTGCACATTAAACAATAAAAATAATTATAGATTGCCTTTTCAATTGTTCACAAATATGGCGGATTTCTGACGTGAGTTGAAACCGAATTTTATATCTGCTAATCATAAACATATATCATTCCTCGCTAAAGGTCAGCATCATGAAACAAGAAATTCATACTGATCTTTGAATTTATCGGCAAGAATCAAATATAGTACCTTTCTTTTTCCATCCATCGAGATCATCAAGCGTTTTCTTTTTGTCTACAGGTGTGAGGTTGACTTGATTTATTAATGTCTCCATATCTTTTAGAGCTGCTTGGTAAACGACGTCTGTCCAGTGTGCAAAATTACAATGTGCCCACTCATTTCTGATGTCTGATCTTATTTTTTTCGCCGTACCCCCAGCCCCAGAAGCGTGAAAAGGTTGAGCCTCAGCGACGAGTGACAAAGCTGCAGACGTGTCCATAGTGTCATCAAAACCAGTAAAGCTGGCCATAAATGGTTTCATGAACAACTTCGCCAGGGATACTCCATCTTTGACAGCATAATCGTATTTACGGACAGACGACTTGTGGTTTGTGAAATTGTTGTTGATACTTTCATAGTTTAAATTCAATGAAGAAGGTGGCAACTTCTTCTTATGTCTTCCTAATGTCTGTTTATCGATCTCATCAGGATGTGGGAGTAGGCTTTGGTACCACATTGGTATTTCATTTCCAAGAACTTCTCTCAATGCTGGAGTGAGAACTTTGTTTAGACATATACCAACGATTACCCATCGTCGTTCATAGTCAGAAATCGTGCTGACTGCACTGGCAGTAGCCATTTGAACGTGACTGATAATAGTGTATTAATCTAGACATAATAAAGGGAATTTTACCGATTAGGAAAATGAAACATAAGCTGGATTTTCACTTGCAGAGAAATAGTTTTCGCTTTTGACAGCGATTTTCTCCTTCTGGTGCTATTTATATATGGAATAAACAATAAATTTAATAGAGTTGATCACTTAACTAAAATATATATTTAGATAGATATAGATCGATATATAGACTGACCCGATGATTTCATTGGGTGAAAACATGATTAAATAACCTAGCGACAACGGAGTACCTCGAAACGAAACAAACTGCATTTTCAAGTCAGCAGACTGTTTCAGCATAAATCACACGCGTAGTCCACATATTTACTTTTTCATTCATAGCAATCGTATATATATACTTCCCTGGAATTACTCTTTGTTGCATGTTCTGACCACTTGTGTATTTTAACTGAATATTGTAAACTTTATAACCCGTCCTTTGCCATGATTCTGAGTAATTTTTGGCGCATAATGTACAAACCAATCAGAAAAACAGCCCATTCATTTTCGCGATCGGCCGGCGTTCCTATAAGCGCGTCCTTGTTGTTGCCTTGTTTGTTGTTACGAACGTAGTATAATATGTGAAAAATCTGGAAAAATTTTCTAAATTACGAGTGTTAATATAAAAAATCTTCAAAGCTAAAGGTACCAAAATAATCACAGAAATGTGTACTAAATGTCTCTACAACACTCTGTACTGCTTTTCGTTGGCGTTTTGGGCAATATTCTGTAAACATTAGCTACAGCTGTACTCCGCCTATAGGCTTCTTTGAGATGTGATATTCACTCAAAGGAACTATAAGCAGGATCGGTAACTTTTTTCAGGTTTGACACAATTGGCTCCATTTTCATGTTTCACTTTAGTTTTTAAACCTGTTTATCTTACATCGAGCACTCTGTCAATGTCAATGGTTTTAAGGAACTCAAATCTCAAACATTATAGATATACCTGCATGCATGGCAGGTAATGTAGGCGACGTGTTATAGGCAGTACAACGCGTTGCCCAAATTTGTATAAATGCTGTTGACTTATCCGTCACCATTTCGCTCTTTCCATGCAAGTGTTATAATACGCACGAAGCAAGCAAGACATAATCAATATTACTTACCAGTTGTATGAGAATATAATGTCATGATCAGCATAGTAACGCGGAAGTACAAAAATCGAAAGGGTGAAATGACGTATCTAATAATACAGTTATACGGATACAAATCATGAAATATAAAACGTATTCATGTTCTTTTGGTGTCTTAAGTTCATAACAATGCTAAAAGTGAGATCTTATTAAATTATTTTCATGTACTTTTTCTCGTTGGCCATTCCACTGCACAGCCAAGACAAAACCAAAAATCAAAATATGCATATTTATATAGGCAGAATATATTTCGCAGCCAGCTGCTAGCCAGCCATCCATACAATTCGAATTCCTTGATGCATGGATGTTTTAAAATTCCTCATTCTTAAAATACTATACCGAGAGGATTTCGATATATTTTGAAACCATGCATCTATATACATTTCAAAAATGATTTCTTTTAATAAAGTACTAGCGTGTTATTCTTTCGTAGCTTGGACCGAAATATATACAAATGGCCAGGCAAAATTCTTGCGTGATGTAGAACTGATTTCTACTTCCTGCAACGTTTAAAGCAATTTGCCGTCCAGAAACAACTCTGCGAGACATGTAAGCTGCTGAAAAATACCAGCAGATCTTGTAAGGGCAGCATTCTTCAGTTTTTTAAACATGCGCGAAACTGCTTCAATACTGAACAACTCATATAAACCAGAAGCTGCATGCCTAGACTATTGTAACGTTTAGACTCAACCTAAAAATTCCAACGGATACAAAATGCAGCAGAGATGTAATATTCCTCGATTTGGTCATATTAATTAACCTCAGCCGTCGAGGACCTATACATTGACTCCCAATGAAGTTCAGGATTGACTTTAAAATTCTTCTAATTGTTTTTAACTGAAGCACTTCACGGACTGGAACCTGATTATATTCGAGCTTATAAGTTATATTCGAGATAAAATTAGTATAGATCGAATAATGTTTTAAAAAACACTAGCGACTCTTGCATGGTGGCGAAATTTTGAGTTTACTTCGTTTTGCGCTGAAATTCCGAAATATGAAATTTTCACGATAGTAAATGTATTTGCATACTCCGTGAACTATAAAAGAAAGAAGAATTTTTCAGTTCTTACAATCTTTTTTGAAGAAAGAACATTATAATTATACTGTCAATGAAAGTGTAATTCTTTTCCTGTAGTATTTTAGGGACACCATCACCTCCCCCATGCACTAGGCGCTCCTATAGTAGCACATTTTAACATGTCAATTTCAATGCTTTGAACCCTACTCCTACAAGAAAACATACAAACGATCTAAGTATGAAAAAACAAAGGCTTAGTTTGTTTACTCTTGGTGTCATACGCCCAAAAAATGGTTTGGCCAATAGCAAGTATGCTACATTTACCGGTTTCAATTTTTTTTCCAACTCGTGCATGCGCATAACTTACAAAAAAGTTCAACGTCCATGAAATGATTGCGGACAATTTCACTTTCACATTGCATTCCCGGGCGCCGGATTAAAATCGCTAAGCAGATTTCGCCGGGTTAATACAAAATATAATATCCCACTCATATACGTAATAAAATTTTATTTATTTTATGATAGTTACAATGTAAATGAGTAAAAGTTAAAACTTTTACAATTGCTACCAAAACTGGTAAGGTGGAAAATCACTGGTAAATACACGAACTTTATTTTCCTTCGCAAGCAAAGCCCAAAGAAACTTTTTCTTCCATCCATAACTGTTACAGTTTGAACCGCATTCTCTTACAAGATTATAAATTCGAAGGCATTGTTCGTCGTTCATATCAAGGTTAATGGTTCGATCTTCCATTGCGAGCATAGTACCTCCTTCATTCGATTTCCTCCAACTATCGCAGGCTTGCACTTTAACAATGAAACGTTTACCAAACTCCGGTGCCCTTTCGTATTCTGGACCACTTGGTTCCAGCCAATCGTATGGAGCTTTCATTTCACTGAAATCCGGCAAAACTCCCTTGTCCCCGATTAAACAGATTGACAATGGGAGGACTTTCACTAAAACGGTGTATTTATCTAAAACTTTAGCGCAATTTTTCTTATGATGCTCCCAATCACCTCTCTGGCATTTTGGATTGCAGTATCCAGAAATATAGCATCTCGTACATTTCTTCAATTTATCATTTTTATGACAGAACGAACAAACGTGAGGAAGAACCTGTAAGGGTGGTGGTTCTCCATCTTCAATATTGTTTTTAAGTATGTTATCGGCACATTTTGCTTCTTGCAAGTTTTCGTCATTTGGGAGCGTGGACGGTGGACTATTTATTGAATCAGGATATGACTTCGTTTGGTCAATGCCTGGCCCTTCGTTACCAGATATCCAATTAGATTTGATAACCGACGGCGGTTGTAACTTTGATGTAGGTGTAGCATGAATGCCACCACATTTGTTTCGGCTGATTTTATTGTCAGAAACAACATACGATGACTCGTCGTTTCGCGCTATAATTGAAATTCCAAACCAACCGTTCTGAAAGATTTCATTTTCCTCAATCTTTGCTGATGATTTTTCAAGGTAAACTCCATCCCGATCATTGTGGAATATTTCATTTCGCGTTAGCGTTAGTTTCCCGCCTTTCCCCACAGCCACACCGAATTTCTTGTTGTCATACATTTGACATCCATTGACATCACACGTACCAAAATCAACATTCACACCAATTTCGTTTCCGTAAAGTTTGCAGCTCTCAAGCGTCGTATACGTACTTCCCTTTTCACCGTTAACCTTCAATCCATCAGAATTATTTGCTGAGAATACAGAATCCACAATCCGGGCTCTTCCATGAATAACACGCAAAGCGTCATTTTGGCAATTAGAAAAGCAAGATTTTTTGACAAAAAGATCACCTGATGACACAAAAGCACAATGATCGTTTTCACTAGTAATAGAGCAATTACAAACCCTAACTAACGAGTTGGGTTTAGTTACCCAGCTTCCATATTTAAATATAAAGGAAATGTTAACGGCCATAAAGTTACCAGAATTAGACAACCCAAATCTATCCAGAAATGATATTTGAACATTACCTCCAACGCCAACAAGAATGATATTATCTAAATGCAATTTTAAAGAAAGAGAATACTCTCCAGACTCGAGAACAATAATTTTCTCAGGCATGCCTGAATAACCCCCACGTGGCAAGTGAAAACACGCAGAAGCTAATGCCGAGGCCTCATTACGAATATGAATGAATTCTTTCAATTTAGGAAATGAAATTTTAAATGGCTTATATTCGTCGAATATGTTGCGATCATGATAAAACGCTACAGCTGCTGCACACATTGCATCCCACTTTTGACCCAACCCGAAGAGAGCCAAGGCTTGTCTAGCGTGACCTTTCCAACAATCAGGAGAATGCTTAATGTATTCCTCCGCATCGCTTAGGGCATTTTCATATTGCTTTAATCTAAGATAGGCAGAAGCACGATTACTAAATAACCTAGGGTCGAAGGAATTTATTTCTTTGCTTTTGTCAATACATAAAGAGTATAACTTTATAGCCTCTTCGAAATTGCTTTTCTTGAATAAATAATTACCTTTTAAACGCAGGGTTTTAATTTCAGAATTCGTGAAATCGTTAGCTGAGGTGTTTGGAATACTGAGGTCGTCTTTCTCAGGGGGTGCCTTACAAGAATATTGTATGCGTCTGCGAAGAGGCTCTAACAGGGGGAACCTATGTGGAAATACTACTTTCAAATCCTGCTTCCTGATCTCATTGCGATTCCAGTCAAGAATCCGATTAGCAAAATCACCAGCAGCTTTTGCCTGACTACTTGAGTTATTCACATTCAAATGCAAAGCACATTCGTAAACAGCTCTCGCTACCTCTGGGAGAAAAACCGTTTTCCCTCTAACATTCGAGACGTCTTTTAGAAGAAGTTCGAGATTACTTTTAATTTCGTACGCATGTAAACACAACTTATGCCACTTATAGAAACAGGAAGAATCAATTGAATGAAGCGAAGACCGATCGCCTTTTTCAGTTAATACGCTTTCTGATATGCTGTCTGGAGATGGGCACTTTAAGAAGGCAAAACGCAGCACTCGGGCTGCGTCAACAATGCTCTCAACTTTAGCGTCCAAAGTCAAACTTTCTCGAATGACCTCTTGGACTAAGCGATGAACAGTGAGTGAAGAGTCGTGAGTTTTTTTAAAGAAAGAAAAGTCAGTCAAGAGTTTTAGGACTTCAAGTGGCCCTAAAGAAGAGCTCACGTGATCACAATATGCTTTGTCGTCAACCCGAGGTTCGCCAACGTTAATGAGGTCTTTTTGAATTTCGTTACGATCAAAAAACGCAGAAGCGTTCAAAAAACGGATGGCGAAAATCCCGTTTGGATCCTTTCGAATATGTTCAAAGTTAAGAATCCATGTCGTATGGACAGCTAATCGTTCTGGCGATGTTCCAAAAGGAGTGCTTGCCGTTTTCTTGCTGAGAAGTTGCAGAGATTGCTTCTCGTAGGCTTCTAAATAGTCAGGCAAGGTGCACCTAAGTGAAACGATATAAGCACAAGCTTGCTCTAAAGCCAATGGTAAACCACCAAGATTTTGATATAGAAGATCTGCGGTGTTGTCTACAGTGAAGATAATTCATAATGATTACTAACGTCTTCGACGTTCACCTCCTCATGCTAAATCGACTAATTATTTCTCACAAGAGACCGGTATTCTTAAGGTCATAGAAAGCATACAGCATTATAGAACATTGATTTTTGTGTTTTGGAATTTCCTTAACTATATTTGATGAAATTCTAAAGCGACCGCTATTGTCCGCAATAGGTTACCATTTCAACAATGGAATTTGCATTATATAAAATTGCCAACAGGCATGCATATATATACATGCGTTCAACAGGGCCGTAACTAGAACGATAATTGGGGGGGTGTTTATTCATATATTCAGTTTTGCCCGACGGATTTCTATTGTAAGCTATTGCACTTACAAAAGAAACCCGTCGGGCAGAACTGAATATATGAATAAACACCCCCCAATTATCGTTCTAGTTACGGCCCTGGCGTTCAATAACTCGTAATTGTTAACTCGTAATAGAGGTCGCGTAATTGTTGCTCTCAAAGCAACCATATTCGTCTCAGACCAAATTCTAAATTGTTGTTACAACTTACAACACCATTGTTACTAACCTGCTTGTTCATCGCGACTAATCCCAGTCCTTTTGAACACAAAATTCTTCGCTTCGTCGCACCCAAAACTATCAAGTTGGAGACACCTTGATTCTTTAAAACCTGAAATATCTTCATTTAACTCTCGCGGTGTTCTCCGTGTTGTTATGATGATATGGCCAAACCCATTGATGTTTGCTTGCCAAGATCCAGATATCAGCTTGAGTACGTTTTGTGAAAGACTAGGCCCATCCATATCATCAATGATCATCAGCCAAGATCTTGAAATTCGCGAAAACACTGCCAAGGTTTTGGACAATGTAGCATCAACGGAGTCGCTGTCCAGGGTGTTGAACTGCGCTGCTATGTCATCAAATGATGCTTTTAACTTGACATCATCTTGTCCGGAAATCCAAAACACCCCTCCTTTGTAATAGTCCCTCCATTTATATATATACTCTCCTGCAAGGCTTGTTTTTCCGCTACCTCCCAGGCCAGATACGGCTATCACGGTTACTTTTTCGTCGATACTTCCGCTTTCGTTGTCTAATATGTCTCGAAGAGAAGTCAGTTCAGATTCTCGACCACTAAACCACACACTTTGTTTAGGTGCCATGAAAAGACATGGCGGTTCTTCGTGTTTTCGTGAGAAACTGTCGTACAATACGAGCTGTCCTACTTTCAATTGCTCCACATCTTTTTTCAACTTGTGGATTTCCTGCGTGAAAGATTTCTCGATATCCTCCAGCGCATTTAAAAGTTTACTCTGTATAATTTAGGAGGGAAAGGAAAAAAATCGTTTAAAATGATATAAAAAATTGTTAAACCGTATTATAACTTCGGTTTCTAAGTCATGCAATAGTTAGACGAGGGAAATAAATGGTCGATCGAAAGAGCGAGTTGTGCTCATTTTATCTTGTCGATTATATAGTTCGTATACAGTTCCAACCGTGAGTAGAAAATATGAACACCACTTTACTTAAATTGATAGTTAGCTATATACAAACTCCATGCAAGGTTATTTGAAGACCCTTTATAGTTAAAGCTAGCTTTGGCAGTCTGGCTGATAGCCAAATAGAGTAAACGTTTAATATTTCCTGCAAATGTACGAGTTCGAGTGTATAAAATTATTTTGCACTTAATAAATAGTTCCAAACCAAATTTTTTTGTTCGGCTGAAGTATTTTACTTTTTCCAACAAATAGATTATTCAATTGTTATTCACCATTTATACATGTGAATGTACCTGCTCAAACTCTGCATCCCTTTTCCAATCTTTCATAGAGTCACGTAGTTCAGCAACTTCTGTTTTCACAAGTTTTAGGAGTTCAGAATCAACAGGCTGACCAAAACACAGCTCCAAACCTTTATAAAATAAACACTAGTAAGAAATAATCTGAAATAAATATGTCTGATGTATCTGCCGAATCTTCTCTTTAATCTCTTAGCACGAAATATTGGCAGCCATAGCAAATGTTATGGTAGGTATGTTACAGTATAAAGTTGAAAATTAGTAAAAACAATTCTATATCTGTTAATCGTAAACATATATCATTCCTCACTAAAAGTCAGCATCATGCATGAAACAAGAAATTTACATTGATCTTTGAATTTATCGGCAAGAATCAAATATAGTACCTTTCTTTTTCCATCCATCCAGGTCGTCAAGCGTTTTCTTTTGCTCTTCATGTGTGAGGTTGAGTTGATTTATTAATGTCTCCATATCTTTTAGAGCTGCTTGGTAAACGACGTCTGTCCAGTGTGCAAAATCACAATGTGCCCACTCATTTCTGATGTCTGATCTTATTTTTTTCGCCGTACCCCCAGCCCCAGAAGCGTGAAAAGGTTGAGCCTCAGCGACGAGTGACAAAGCTGCAGACGTATCCATAGTGTCATCAAAACCACTAAAGTTAGCCATGAATGGTTTCACAAACAACTTTGCTAGAGATACTGCATCTTTAACAGCATAATCATATTTACTAACAAACGACTTGTGATTTGTGTGATTGTTGTTGATGCTTTCATAATTTAATTTCAATGTAGAAGGTGCCAAATTCTTCTTATGTCTTCCGAATATCTGTTTATCGATCTCGTGAGGAGGTGGGAGTAGCCTTTGGTACCACATTGGTATTTCATTTCCAAGAACTTCTCTCAATGCTGGAGTGAGAACTTTGTTTAGACATATACCAACGATCACCCATCGTCGTTCATCGTCAGAAATGGTGCTGACTGCACCTGCAGTGGCCATTAGTACGTGTTGAAGGCGTATTCAATCTAAACAAACATTTTTTTCAAACAAGTTTCTCTCTGATTATTAACGAAAGCTAAATTTCACTTTACTCCTGCATGTTTCGGAGGTTAACGATAGTTGAAAAAGTTGTATTTTTAAATCTTTTTGAAAACATATTTCCTAACAGTAGGATTTTAAACTATATTTTTATATAAGTAGTGGAAATCCTCATCTCTCACTGTTATTCTTTAAAGGTGTTTTTTCATTGTATATAGAAATGATGAATTCGAAAATTTTTTTTGTGCGTTCATTGGTGCATCGACCGACTGTTGATACACAACGCATCGTTATACAAGCTTAAAATTGGCACGTAAAATATATATATACGTATTATCCCAATCAAGGAGCTTTTATATATATAGGAGCCCATATCTATGCAAATTCGCATTTCCGCAGCATAATATAGCATGATATATCATGCATAGGCAATCAATGCGAAGTTGCCGAAGAGTGCAACAATCATGACAATGTTGCAGAATATCAATTTTGAAATCTCGATGCTTCTACCTTCATTGCCTTCACTTTGATACTTTTACCATTCCTGCATTCGGGGCACACTGTGCACGTGGTTGGTTTTGGTGACACAGTTCAAATCACAATAATTGGCAGCTGATAGGCGATGTCGACGGGTTATGTAGCACTAAATTCGCAACATGTATGCGGAATCATTCGATTCAGTCATTCTTAATCATTTCACCGGCTCTATCTGAGCATTATCGCCATAATTTTGTGGTTATAACGCAAATCATGCAAGACATAATCAACATTACTTACCATGCCATGCATTTAGATGAAAATATGAGTTCAGAAATGGAGACTCGTCACACGAGGCGATATATATGTAAGGCGGAAGTGCAAAATAACGATAGTATTATTATATACCATGCAAACTAGCGTATATGGGTATCGTATATCAATACTCTTTGTCTTTTTGGATTTTAGGCAACATCAAAAGAGAGCGTTTACCTTTATGTTTGGTCTTTCTACCCTGTAAGTCCTGCAACTGATTCGACTGTCTACACAAACCGGAATGCGAAAACAATAAATAATTGCCCAGGTGGACAACAGCCCCTGCTGAGAAAAGACAAGGGCGTCCCTGTATCGCAAATCTAGTTTTCAGTCCGATCGTACTTACTTTATTGCTCTTTTCAGCTGGATATTTAGACTTCTTGCTTATCTGGATTTTTAAGGAAATCTCGAGATATTACGGAGGCTAACTTGGGATTTTGACAGTATTACAGTTGACAAAGCTGAAAACAGGTCGACTGTACTTTTTGGATCCAGTATCTCATTCTTTTCCATTGTGTGGAAACGTGTGTAGAAAAAGTGGGAAACACCGATAAAATCATCTCCTTATTCTCTTAATCAAATCATTATGAACTGAAACACCAGCAATGTGGCTCTCTCTATAATCTTCGCATCCTTTGTCTGATCTCACCCTGGAAGGCCATTCATGCATGTTTGCTCAACTAACAACCGTACAACAGATGCACAGTTGTTAGTTGGGCAAACAAAATAAAAAATTAGCCGTGAAAATCCATCTAATCCTGCATGAGCTGCGAATTGCCATCGTAGGAAACTCATGAAGCCCCGTCTGTCTATACGCCAAAGAGAATTTGGTAAAGGAACACTGTAACACGTCTTGCCATGTTTAGACACCTAAATAGAACTCATACTGGATCATTTTTCGCCAAACTTTCCCAAACCATTTTTCGTTGAACATGCAGCTATTCCTGAATTAGTTATTCCTGAATTCCTAAACTAGCATTGGTTATGTAGGTATTTCCGAAATGAATCAACACCCCTAACCCCATGGAACAGGTAGCCTACCCATTAATATTATAGACAAGCAAGTTTTGTTTTTATTTATTACGCCTATACTCCTGTTTCATAAATCGCGTGTATCGAGGACGACATGCATATTCGCGTAAAAAAGACGCGTGTATACGATACGTGTAGGCGTCAAAAATTATAAGTGATAAAAGTATAGGTTTGTTTTTTAATTTTAGCCCATGTATATTTGACCATTTTTGAAACGAATGGCCTATCATACTAACTAAAATGGTTTAAAATTCTTTGATTGGTTAAAATTTACAATTTTGCCAACGAGGCCACGTGTGGAATTTCAATGTCATTATGAAGGATGTAAAATAGTGCATGTGTGTTGCCTGAGTTGCCTCACTCGCCTGCTCGCCTTGTTGCTCAGTTGCTGGTGGTCAAAATGTTCGTTGTAAACAAAGTTTAATAATTATTTGAATATGCTGACTTTGAACGTTTGTCTTTGGTCTGCATGATAATCGAAGCAGGATTTCGAAGTAAAGAATATGGAGGAGTTTTATGAGCGCTATCTTCGAGTGTGCAAAGAGTGTGTTGTTACTCCATTGGAATGTGTGTTATCTCAACTGCAGCGTCCTGCTGAAGACGATGGAAGGATACTTGACCTATCATCTTATAACTTTACTCCGGACGACTGCAATGCACTCGCTAAAACGCTATCGTACGATACATATTTTAAAGAAGTTCGTTTTAACGACTGTTTACTGAGTGAAGATGCTTCCAAGATGCTTTTATATGGTTTGCTTCGCAGTCGTTCACTTGAAACGATCGACCTAAAAGGCAACAACTTACGTTGTCCTGGCGCCGAGGCTGTTGGCATTTTCCTGAAGAAAAACCTATCGCTTCGCTGCCTGCGTTTGGACTGGAATTCTCTGGGTCTGTGGGGCACCGGTGTTGGAGCCATAGCCGAAGGGTTGGCTGTCAATCAAACTGTAGTGTTACTCGATTTGAGAAATAATCAAATATCCCATGAAGGGGCAACAGAGTTGGCTTCATGTCTCAAGAGAAATTCAACTCTTAAAGCATTGGATTTGCGTTGGAATAATGCTGGCTTACTTGGAGGACGTGCATTTTTAACTGCCCTGCAGTATAATAAATCCCTAACATTGTTAGAGTTACAAGGTAGATATTAAACATTCAGATTGAGTAAAAATATATCATATCATACTAAGTTTCTGCCAAAATATCTTCATCCATTTTTTGCAATTTATAATTGTGTATAGTATTACCTCAGCTGTTGATGCTTAGCATGGCTTTAACACTTAGCAACCGGACTTAGTAGCTCGGTTGGAGAAAGTCACAAATTGCTTGCCAGTGAGCTTGAAGTTAGATGTGTAACTCTGCTTGTTAGGATCTAAAACTATGCATATAAGTTTTCATCTAAACATTCTAGGTTTAATCACATGCACCTACAATTATTCCTAATCATGGGCTTCTCCCACATATTGTTACAATTACCTGCAATTTAAAATTTCCTAAAGAACATGCCCCATGATCAAATGGTATCACTGCATTAGATAATGTTGTGAACATCTAGGTAATGGACTTGTTCTAACTTCTCGTCATATGCAAGATTACTTGAGGTATTAGGCGCATCACAAAGAATGAACCCCTACCCCCTTCCTTCCTCATGGGACTACTAAAGAGTGATTACATGCAGTGTTAATGATTGTATATTGTGTAACTTTGTAATTGTATATATTGTGTAATTCAAAATGAACCTTGATCAATATATCCAGACTGGTAAAAAGAGATTTGGAAACTGTGAGAGAAATAATACTTGAAAACTGAAAAAAATATAATATTTTCCCCTCATGCACTTATCAATAGCAGCGCAATAAATATTGCAATGATTAACTACACAGATATATTTGAACATGATCTATTTTACAAAAAATCCCATGGACAAAATATAAAGTTATTTGGGTTAACTAATGGTTGATTGAGTGTAACCATGCAATTTTCCTATACTAATGTTTGTTCATTAGGTAACAATGTTCCTCAAGACATTCTCAAAGCAATTGGTGTTGCCATCAAGTTAAATGGCGAACGAGAAACAGCACGAAATAAGGAAAACGCAAGAACAGAGAAAATGATTCGAACAATTGAAAAGATTGAACTTGAAAATACAATGCAGGTACATACACTACAGATCACTGCTGTAGATCACTGTTTTTCCCCCAAAATTACCTGCAAAAATTAATTTTGCTTTAAATATAATTAGTTTGTCATTTAAAGGCAGAGCATTAACTTTATCGTCTTTTGAATTAGTTGCGTGAAAAGTAACAATTTTATGAAGGCAACGAATTCGTCGCTCTTAAAATAAAAGCCACAATGTATCAGGCAAATGTGGGAAATCTCTGCTGAATTTCGTTTTTCAATCGTTGTTGTTTCGGTAGTTTTGATAATAGTTTTATTTGCAAACCTTATAATATAAAATTAGTTGCATGAGCAAAGACCGTCGGTATGATATCGGACACACAAGAACAAATGCTTTCTGGGACTGTAGAATACAAACAGAATATGTGCAGCATATGTAGTACAGATTCATTCTTTTGAGAACTGTTTACAATTTTGAAAAATATCTTCTAGGTTTCCATGTTGCAAGATAAACTAGAAGAGCAAAGCAGAGTCAATGAAGAGCTTTCGAAATCAAATCATAGCAAAATCAAGCGGCTCAAAGAATCGCTGGACAAGAATAAAGCTTCTGCTGAAGAGATCAGCAAGGAACTGCAATCAACAAAAAGCGAACTGAAGACGAGAAACCGGGAAAATTTGAGTTTGAATGACTTGATAAACGAATTGAAAAACGAGTTATCTGCAGAGAAAGCAAAAAGAGAACAGCTAGAAAATGATGTTCATCTTTTGAAGGAAAGCCGTTCAAAACTGGAGCGAAATGTTATTGAATTGGAAGCAAAAAAAGAAGAATTACAAAACGTGGCGGGTGGGTTGGAAAATGATATCGCTAGAATAAATGTTGAACAATTAACGAAACTTAAAGAGATGGTCTCAAAGCACGAGGAGTCCGTTGCATACGCCAACGGCGAACACGCCAGTGAAGTGAAACATTTACACTCGAATTTCAAAGAAAAAGAATCGATAATGAAAGGCAAAATCGAAGTCTAGAGAAAGAGAAGATGGAAGCTGAAGAGAAGATCAGTCAACTCAAGTCTGAGATAATGTCAAACAAATTAAAAGCCGAAGAAGATGTGTTCAACTTGAAAACCCAACACAAACATGAAGATCTTGTAAAATCCAAACAATACGAAGACAGGATAAGCGCTTTGCAAACCTCAAGAGATGAACAGCACATTCAAATTAGCAAGTATCTCAGCCAAATCTCAGAATTGCAAAGGGAACTAAGCCTGAAAGAAAAAATGTTGACTGAACTTAAAGAGGAGACAGACGCTGCAACCAGAGAAATGCATCGAAAGGAAAGCAACCAAAAAACTGAAATAGGTCTCTTAAAGATGGACCTTGAATCAGAAAAAAAGGTACAAGATAGTCTAAGAGATCAAATGTCGAACCTAGAGCTGAACATAAAAGAGAATGGCAGAAAACAAAAGGAATTGATTGCGGAGAAGGATCGTGAAATCGAGTCCCTTGAAGAAAGGTTACAAACAAGAGAAACTGATCTCAAAAGACGACGCGAGGACGAAATCCGAAGAGCTGATCTTCTTGAATCTGCAATATTTACATATGTGAACAGCACAAGGTCTTCGAGACCACCATCCCCTTCCAAGTAATCTTCCTTCTTTTGTGTTACTCTGTTCATCATTTCTTCATTCGTGTCCAACTGTGTTATCAGTATCGTCGTGCAGCGCTACTAGGCACTTTAAACAGGATTTCAATGATATTTTATTTAAATATTGTGGTACTAAGGGTTCTGTTGTAGACTTGTGGTGAACTGGAAGCCCAAATACAGCAGGAACTGACTTGTGAACTATTAGGCGAGCACCATTGGTGCGAGCATTAGTTGTCTTGCATGTTGGAGAGTTGTAATATTTATGTATACTACCTAGAGAAAGAATGAGTGGGTGTAAAGTAATTGACTATTCAATAAATCGGTTACTACAAATCCCTCCAACTAAATTGCATTTGTAGAACAATTTTTTGACTTTGTGCACTGGATAAACGTATATATAACAGTGAACTGATATATAATAGGAATTGCTATTGGACATTTTTAGGCAGGTGGCCAACCGCCAATCTTTTGTGGTGATGAGGTGATAATGCGGGAAAACATAGGAATACGGGGGGCAACCAGGGGCAGCAAAGACCGCATGGTCATCATTAAAAAAATTATTTCTGGCAAGAAGAAAAACATTTGTACTTGCCTGATCGAAGTTCTTTTGGCCTTTTTGGCCTTCCCATCTTGTTCGTGAGAAAACATGGAGCGCGAAGACAAGTCCTTAGACGATTTCTTTGCTAAGAAAGACAAAGGAAAGAAAGGAAAGTCGAAAACCAAGGGGAAGTTTACGACAACTTCGTCCATTACCAAGCAGGTTGAGAAATCGCAAAAGCCAGTGAATGAACAAACCAAAGAACAAAAGCCAACTGCGAGTCAGCTTTCCAACACACAGGTCAGCATAAGTAGAACTGTTATGACGACTAAGGATGCACTAAATCATGAGCTTGATTACTTTAAAGTTGTGAGAGATGATTCAAAATTGTGAGAATCCTAACCTCATGTAATATGAAGTTGATTGCCTCCAGGAATTTCTTAAATTACTCCGGTTTTCTCTCACTCATAATACAAATCTTAGGAACTAGTCAATGGGCCACGGTGAATGTTTAGCACTTATATTATGGACAACTTGCTATTATGGCAGTCAATTAGAACTACTATTTAGATAGGTTTATACTATTTAGTATAAACCTATCTAAACAGGTTTTATGCGGGTCTGCAAGCTGATCAAAGTGTCAAGATCTTTAATTTGGCTTGTAAAACAACTATTGTTTGCCTGGAATTACAGTGAGTAAAATGCCCCTGGTAATTACGTAAAATATCTTGGTGATTGGTACAAAGGTAATGCCACATCATCACAGTTGCCCTTTTGGACATGGAATATATTGATACTCATGATACTACAGTCCCCCTCTGGGCCAAATTACTGTTAGATAGTTCTGCCTGAATGCATATTACACTTGAACAGTCTATTGTAACATTTCTTTATCAGTTTATCAATTTGTTGATTGCATCTGTACAAAAAAGCATACTCATTTTGAAGCTGAATATAAGTATTCAAAGTTTTAAAAACAGCTCCAAAATGCAGTAAATAACATTTTTTACAGGTTTTATTTTTTAACAGGTTTTATTTTACCAATTGATATTGTTTCACAACTGCATGGACCAAGAACTGTATTTTGACCTGTTATTCGGCAAGATTACTGGATTGTAGGCTGGCTAAAAACCTGTTACAAACCCAAGTTACTGTAATATAGTTTTTTAACTAGTTCTTAATATGTTCAATTATCATTTTTATGAGCAATAAGTCATATTTAAATTTTCTAGAATGAAGAGGAATGGGAGGACTTCAATGAACCAAAAGAAAAAGATTACTCCGGTCTAAAAGTACAATCCTTACAAATAAGGTAACTAAATACATTCTTGTCTAATGATATATACATAGTTGTTCAAAAATTTTTGATGGTATAACATATATATTGTTCTCATTGATTCAATTACCTAGCAGAAACAGTTCAGCAATAGGTGCTGTAATTGGTGTGAATACATTTTTATGTCTCTAAGAAAACAAGATAAAAGGATAATTCCACATTCATTACCATTCAGTTTCTAATAGATCTGAGTTTTTTCTTATTGCATGCATCTAATAGCTTTATTCTTAAAAATCATCACAGCCTCACAAAAGTCAATTGCTGCCAAAAATACACCTGAAGATGAAATTATGGGCAGCATTTATTTGCTGCCATTAATTTTTTTTCTTGTCACTCCTGAAGATTATTATGTGAATTATTTTCAGAAAAATCTGTAGTGTTATTACTGAGTAGTTAAACTAATGTACATGTCAAATTTGCCTATTAGTCAAATATTATATATTAAAAGAAATGGTTGCATGGATATCTTATTGTGGCTAAAATTAATAATGTTTTCTTGAATTTCAATCACTTATCATCAGCAGAGTCAAGAGATTAATGTAAGAACAACTCAGTTAACAACTTAATTGTTATCAAAGGCATTAACAACAAGTAAATACCTGTACGGCTGTACATAAGAATATATTGTGCCAATGCATCTTTAAAGAGGAATTGCCATTCAGAGACAAAAGACATTCACCGAACTGCTGCCAAACTTGGAAATATTGACGGTTATATCCCCCAACCCCCTACAAAAATTATCAAAATTGCCAGGGCTATCATTAAAGTTGACAAGACCTATGTATACTCATGATGGTGTACAGCAGAGATATACAGTGTAACAGTGGCAGGTTTTAGTACACAGACTTCACATCAATTTCCATAGCTAATTTTTACTGCACCTAAAATACTCTGAATAGTTCATCTTTCAAATGCCTTATATATGATACTGTATTATTCCAGGGATAAAGTTGATGAAGATAATGATGATAAACCAGAGGATGCTGAAGAATATGATGAAGGTAGATACATAAGTTACCAAATATTTATTGTATCAAAGTTTAGAAACAAGCTTTCTCTAAGCCTCATTTAAATGTAATGATAGTTTCAATGTAGCACCCTGCCAAGTTATATACAATCCAGTTATCAGCACACCCACTGGTACAGGAAAAGTTAAATAGAACTTTGATATAGTAATATTTTTTTAATAATGACTAGAAGGCTTTCTTAATAACAAATTTTATTAAATTGTAACAATGTTTTGGAGTTTACTTCAGCATCAGGTTACTCTTGACATTGAATATTTCATTCCCTCTTTCAAAGCTATGCTTAAATGTAACCTGATAATGGAGTAAATTCCGAAACGTTGTTACAATTGAATAAAATTTGTTGTCAATTAAGCCTTCTGGTCAATATTAAAAAAATATGATATCAAAGTTCTATTTAACTTTCTCCTGTACCAGTGGGTGTGCTGATAAATGGATTGTATTATTTGTATATAACTTGGCAGGGTGCTACATTGCAGTAAAGTTGTGTTTCACAAGATGTTGATGCAAGACTCTTGCTTTCTTAAAGCGTGCGTACACATATTGCACATGTACATTATACATGCATGTTCTGCAAAGAGTGATGAATAGAAATACATTATTTTCAAACTTTTCCTTATTGTATTTCTAGACTGTACAGAAAGAAAGGATAAATCAAGCAATGTTTGGCAAGTGAACCTGCAGCCAACTGTTCCTGGTAATGAATGATTTGTATACATGTTTTTGCATACATGAGTTGCCTTGTGTATAGCATTTTTGACATCTTGTAATTTTACCATTATGTAGCAAACCAAAGTTTGCAGGGCCAATTCCCATCATTGTCAAGTCTGTTGCTTATATAAATAGTAACATTGTTTGACCTTTTTTGTGGGGAAGGCTACCACAAAACTATGTTAGCTTAGTGGCTGGTTTCGCTCAGAATAATAGCATATGTGTTTTATACTATTTTATGTACATTCACCTATGCACTTCATAGCATAACATAAAAGCTATGATTGGCCGTTGAGAGCAATTTTACAGTAGTAGTTAGTGACCTTACAGTGAGTCGCTGACAAATTGTTGACTGGGGCTTCCCTTTCTGTCGTATGAAATTGTTTCGGAATGGGTTTGAATACTGTAGCTACATACAATCCGATTCTAAGTCCGGGAATATTTTATTTGTGTAGCAGCCTCCGCCCCAGAAGTAAAACAAGAACCGAAGAAGGAAGTTGGCAAAGGAGCATATATCCCTCCATCAATGAGAAGAGCCATGGCAAATCAAGCAGAAGGCAGAGATCAGTCGTGGAAATACAGATCGGGTGCGAGAGAAAGAGACCCTCGCAGACCTCCTGAAATTGCGAGCGAAATTGCATTTCCAACTCTTCAAGCTTCCACTGCTTCCAGCAAAAAGTAAGCTAAACTATAAAGATTAAATATTCGGGTTCATTAATTTCTCTTCCAGAGTTTGGGAGGGGGTCTTGTATCGATGTGCAGTACAAGAGGGGCTCCAGGCAAAAGTGCAAACGGATCTGCCAGACTACTTCAAATGTCATAAAAATCTGATTCATAAAAAGCTCTGGCATCGTATATATATGTAATCATAGGCCCTAAAGAGTCTGATGCAAAGACACGAGATGTTCCAAAAAGGTGGATACTTGGCAGTGGTGTAATCTTCCCAACAAAAGCATTTGCTTGTTTAGTTTTAGAAAAACTTGTTTCAATGCTTCAAAATCTTCTCGCCCTTTGTTAATTCCCGGGTAACCGAGCTCATGTAAACCCTTGTAATGAATGGATATTTTTGTCTCTCCAGTGAATCGTCATCTTCATCGAACTTCGAGGACGTTAGGCATGGCGGGCGTGCCGTGAGTGAACAGTCGTTGAATCGAAGAACGGATATTGCTGTCGACAACAAATTTAGTGCTCTGAGCAAGTGATTCCTTGATTCGCCTAGTCTAAGAAATTCTGATTATTCACGAGAATTAGTATATTAAATGTCTAGTTTTAGGGCAAGCAGCGACAAGATTGCTCAATTGTAGACAGTGAATTGACAGAATTCGTTACACGAGAACGAGATATGGACTTAAAAATTCTGCGAATTTCGAAGCGTCGCCATGGCGCCATGAGTTAAATGAACTACTTTGGCTATTACTTTATTACAAGATAATGCTTTGCTTCAAAATTCATCTTCCGTTGGAGTCTCTATAAAATTAAACATGATGGCGATAAAGGCGAGTTTTCAGATCATATCTCGTTATTAAGCTATACATGCATCGCATAGTTTTGAATGAACAGATATAGTGTTCACATACATCTAGCATGAACTATGAAATATGTTCAACGTTGTAACTGTGTAATGTAAAGAAAGGGATAGGAAGATGAATAGAAATACTTTAAAAATTCAATCGCGAAAT